TCAGAAAATTCAATTCCAAGGATTTAAAGCAGACCTCATTCAAATTTGCAGCTAGATTAACCAAAATGTAATTACTTAAGCATAGTTCCACTGGCAGCTCACAGGATGCCACCATCGAGGGAAGCAAAAGAAGGTATTTAAGCAGCACACACTGCCGGAAAAGTTGACCTGTAATATTTGAAAATTAAAAGCTGGGGAGAAAAGGAATACGCATACACATACAGCTGAATGTGGCAATAGCTAAATGTGGAAACAGAATTGCAGAATAGAGTCTTATCAGGTGGCTTGCAAAGTGGGTAGCATGTTGAGAGGGAAGAGGAGATGCATCTTTCCCAGTTCACGGAGAGGGAATTTAAGCACACGAAATGACAGGCTGACCTGGTTAACAAAATCCCCATGCACAGTCACTCAGACTAAGCATTACTGTGGCAGACTTCAATTGGTCTGGTGCAGCACAGTCATTGGGATGTACACAGTTACAGCCTCCAGCATCTCTCCCCTTCATCTAAGGTATTTAGTAGCCGGGCAGCTTTTGTTTAGAAATATAAAAAAAAAAAAAAAAAGCAACCAAGCAAAACCACTACCTTTTCCTGCTCCAGTAACTGTTGCAGACTTGCTTTATACTGAGGAGTCTTCATGTATGCCATAAACTGCATGTACTGGATCTTAAAAGAGTCTGCAAAATACAGAGGGAGAGAACACATTTCAAATAAGGGAAAACACAATGCTACCATTTAACCCTCCTTGCTCCCTTTTTTTGTTGTTTGGGCTACAAATTCCCCTTCTTTTGTGTCAAATTAAGAGTTGAAGTAATATCAGAAACAAATGCAAGCCAAGATGTCAGTTGCAGCAACAAGTAAGAGAGGAGACGTGAAGGGAAGCTGAGGGGTAAAGTGCCCCTGCTCCCATTCAATCTAGAGCAAAATCTTTGTTTTACTCTGTATTTAGAAATAACTAAGTAAAGGTCCCCAAAAAAACCTACACACGGACACCATTGCAGGCTCACCTAGCAGCTTCTGTAGTGCAGGTGGGGTGGGTGTCACCAGGAGCTGGTTAGATGAATGCCGTTGCACTTTAGGAGGTAGTTGGTAATATGGACTATGAGGTGACTTGTATGCATCTAAAGCGAGAAAAAGATCACAAATTTAGGAAATTCAGCATTTCTGGCAGTGCACAGTAGCTCTGTCATTTGAAAGTATGCCATTTTACAATGCAAGATCCACTAAACCGGCTGGACCAATTACTACAACAAATGGTGTTTGGAAGGACTTCTAAAACTTATCCTGAGAACAGCGGCAAGGTCTGAGCCACAGAGCGGCTGCAGCTCCTACAAAATAACTGCAGGCAGCTTCAGGCATCATCTCAGGTGGAGCCAGACCACCACTTCCAAAGGAGCTCTGCTTTAACAGTAAGGAAGAAGGTCCAACACGAAGACAAACTGAAGGGAGCAATAAAAGGAGGAGGACCTCAAAGCACTCACTGGGACCCTCGGCACTTTGGTAGAAGAGAAGCTTCCTCAAACTCACCCTGAGGAGAGGATGAAGATGTTTGCGACACAGTTTGAGCATGCAGAAGTTCTAGTGCAGTTTGGTTCTTCTTGGTCTTGCGCTCTGTATTTGCAGTGTTCATTTTCTTGGGACGCCCTCGTTTCCTGCCTGCCATTTTCCTTCCTTTTTTGCTCAGCTTTTTCTTACGTGCTTTGGAGGGAGATGGCTTTTTAACAGAATTTGCCCCAGCCTTTTCTTCCTCAGCACCAGAATCCTAAGAGAATTTAAAAAAAAACCTTTAATATTTAGCCATTTATACCTACGTATGCACAATCCTTTTAAGCAAGAATGAATAACTTTGCTTAATAATTCTGGAAGAAAGTTGATGCACTCTCATTAAGTAACTTAATTGGCTAGCCAGACAGAGAGACTTCCTTGAGATTAAAATGGTCCCTGACTTCCAAGGAGCTGTGTCAATTCTCTTCTGGATCTATCCATTACAGAGAAGGCAATCCGTAACTTGTCTAGGAAGAGCTGATTACTCACCTCACATTGAGTATTCTCCCCTACTGTGTTTCATGAAGGAGTCAAAGTACATCAAATACTTCATATTTTTGCACAGGAACAGTCATTACATTTCCAACAACATTATGCAATTGAATGGGAAAGGAAATGAGTCTTTGCAACAGCAATTCAACACACCCCAAACTCCATTCAATGGCCTTTGGCTTAGGAAAAGCTTACAAGTCGTGTGGAAGGCAAGAAGGGTTACGGATTCAGCTGCTCTCTTCATGAGSCAGTACTTTTTTTTCCCCCCTCAGAACTATGGCTGTAATTCTCAAGGGCAGATCTTCTGAAGCTATTAAATCACTTTTTCCCCCACAGCAAGGCTATAGTAGTTTACATATTCAGAACATTAAATTCCCATATGGTCACGTTTTTGCTGGCATAGAGAAAAGTATAGGCATAGCCAAACTTCACTGTATGAAAGAACACAATGAAACACAATATAAATATTTACTGTATGAAAATGCAAGTTCACCTTGTTTTCTTGAACCTTCGTTGGAGTAGTTGTGTTGCTCTTATTTTCTCTTTGTTGACGACGTCTAGCTGCCTCTTGTTCCTCCTGAACAAATATTTGAGAAGACTTTATAACTTGCTGCTGCATTTCTAATGCAGAGCCCTATATTCCCTAGCTTATTCCTCTARGCTGCTACCATATAAAGACTAATTTAAAAAGGAAAATATCCTTGGTTACCAGCAAGGGAAAAACCAACTTATCCTGTCCCATGCAACACTGTGTGTGAACAGGAAGGTAAGTACAAGGTATCCTGTTGCGCTGCAAAAAGGGCTAAAAAGGGCTTCAAACCTGCAGCTTCAGGAGAAAGAAGAGCAGGCCACAACCTCTTCCCCTCTGTGCCACACTGGTGTTATATATAAAATGCATTAAAATATCCACCAAAACCAGCAAAACTTTCTAAATGGCAATAGCTTTACCCCCACCCTTTAACCTCCACGGGTTACTAGGGCATTACAAAACCTTAGATGAGTGGAAAGGGCAAAGCCCCTCCAAAGCAGATTCCCTGCAGCCAAGTCAAGCAGCCTAAAAACACAAAGCGACTTTTAAGATTTACTTTCAGCTAAGGACCAAGGAGAGGGATTTTCAGAGAGCTGATAAAACGTCGTTCTTGTACCTTCCATTCTGAACCAGCCCAGCCCAGTCTCAGAAAACCTCTGGCACTTGAATTGCACGTGGGGGAGCACCGCGTTTCACCTCCGAACTAACATGTCCCAAAGGGGTTAAAAAGCTCAGAGTGTCCTTTATCTGAGCTGAGATGCAACCAAATACTGGGCTGGATTTTCTTCCCCGTTTCTTTCTGAAATCTCAGCTCTTTAGTGASTGAATAGCTTCACTGCAAGGGAGGAAACAATTGAGGCTGCCCTGTTAATTCTCAATTATAAAACTCTTTGAACCTGGCTGCAGTAGTGCTTGGTGGCCTCGGATGCTTCCCTAAGTCCCATGCATGTTTCTTTTTTCCCCTGGCACCTCTGAAGATCTTTAACACAGCTCTCACACTATCACTGCTTCATTATTTTGAATTTTCTACAGAAAGTCGATGGAAACTTACCCTGAGTTTTGGATTTTTGAGACTAGAAAAATAGTTTTCAAGCTGAAAGGAAAAGATAAGATAATCATTTTGTAAGTCAGAACAGAAGGCTAAATGAAGAACATCATATTCATTTAAAACAAAATGCAGGACTGCCGAAATTCTGACCATTTTTTCCCCTCTGATAACGCCCCAAAAGAAGCCATTTCCATACATTCTTTTTAAAGTTGTAAGCTCTAGTGTATAGCAGGACATAATCCAAGCCTCAACCATGCTTATCATCTCAGGCCAGCCTAGCCTTGTTTTAAAGCTTTGTGTAACATATCTCCCCTCAACAGAAGCTATTTCCAGAGAGGATACACACCTACACACCACTAAAATATTTGTCTGCGCTCTAGCACGTTCTTTAACAGCATTACACTAGAGCAGACTTAGAAAAGTCTTAGCATCGTATCGCAGGAACATAAAATAAACCGGATATCGTGGAAATAAAGTGTTTCCACACAGAAGTTTACTTTAAAAAAAGAAAACAAGAAAAAAGAATCAGTGAAGACATCAGCATCGYTATTAAGCTTCGCAATTGCTCTTTCAGTCGAGAGCTGCTGCTTGCATATCAAGAAATGGAAGTGCTCCCTATATTGCAAGGCAGATTACAGAATTAAAACCATGGCATCTTTACTCCACRTGAAAAGGAACAGTACTATAAACAGTTTTTATACTGGAACACACAARGAGGAATTACATTTATAAATCTATGCATCTCTAACTACTTTACGGAGTACCGTAGCACTGGGCATAGTTAATCTGCTAGTGCTGCCCTGAAGCCACCGATGGCTAAACCGCACACCGGGCTTTGCCCCTTTACTCAGAGCAGTTGCCCACTGGCACCCACTCCAGCAGGACACGCTAAGGTCTGCAAATGGGCAAGGACGATATAAAAGCAACTAAGGGTCTGGACTTTGCATGTTGATTCCAAAGCAGGCAGGGGGGTGCTGGCCCACAGCTGTGTACTCACTATGGTTCGGTCAATAGTATGCAGGTAGTAAGAAACTGGTTTCCCGGTCCACGACACAGACCCTTTCAGTGGTGAGAGCTCCACAACTCGCATTATAGTGCCAATATCTAAAGGGAAAAAGTCGAGTTAGGGAATKAAGGCTCCCAGCAGTTTTCTGCTCAGACCTCCCGAGCTGAATGCAGCCCTGCGGGTTCCCAACCAAAAAATAAAGGTTGTCTACAGAGAGCAGTGCTTATCACCTTGCCAAAAGCACCACGCAGGAAACCTGGGAAAGGYGCCTTGAAGAGTCACATTTTATGAGTTAGGGAAGACTTTCGATAGAGCAAAACTTGCCCAGGACTCGGAAACAAGTGCACAGGGAACCCAGGGGACATCTGGAGGGAGGGGCAGGATTCAATTAGCTAGGACCAGCTGCAGGCTACAGACAGATCACAGAATCACAGAATGTTCAAGGTTGGAAGGGACCTCTAGAGATCATCTAGTCCAACCTTCCTGCTCCAGCAGGGACACCCAGAGCACRGGGCACAGGGYGGCATCCAGGTGGGTGTGAAGACCTCCAGAGAAGGAGACTCCACAGCCCCCCTGGGCAGCCTGTGCCAGGGCTCTGGCACCCTCACAGTAAAGAAGTTCCTCATCACATGGAGATGGAGCCTCCTGTGTTTCAGCTTATGCCCATTTCCCCTTGTCTTGTCACTGGCCACCACTGAGAAGAGCTTGGCCCCTTYCTCCCTACATTCCCCCTTCATGAACTTATACATGTTGATCAGATCCCCTCTGAGCCTTCTCTTCTCCAGAGAAAACAGGCCCAACTCACTCAGTCTCTTCTCATACAAGAGATGTTCCAGTCCCTTAATCATCTTAGTTGCTCTTCYCTGGACYCTCTYGAGAAGCTCCACATCCCTCTTATACTGGGGAGCCCAGAACTGCCCCCARTGCTCCAGGTGCGGCTTCACCAGAGCTGAGTAGAGGGGCAGAATCCCCTCCCTGGACCTGCTGGCAACACTCCTCCTGATGCAGGCCAGGATCCCGTGTAAATTGTAACTGCAGATCCAGCCCATGTCAATTGTAACTGCACTATATTTGCATGGAGGATATTTTTATTATTTGTTTTCTCGTATTTGTTTTGCTCCCCCGAGCTAATAGGTATAGGACGTGTCCAAGTATTTAACCATAACCCCTCAGCACTAAGTGGAGTGACTGCAGTGGAAACATTGCGGCACGTTTCTAATGAAAGACAAAATYACCCGGAAGGGTCAGAAAAGAAAGTTGAGGATTCAGCAATTGCAATCATCATTTCGCTCACATTCTAATACTTGGTTCTAGTCTGCCCCAACTTTTCCCACATTTCTTTTTCCAGAAGGAATTACTTGGGAAAAAATGACACCGAGTTAAAAAAAAAAATCCTTCTTGAAGTTTTATCCTATTATATTTTTTCAATTACTTAACTGTTCAAATTTTATATCAGAACAATTAACAACTAACAAGCACCAGGCCACATCAACCAGGTCACACTTGGGCACCCAAATCAAAAAAACAAAAAAAGGCTGAATAAAAGTGGTAAAAAGACCTGGCGAGGCAGCAGCACCAAGTTACTGCAASTGAGCAAATGGCCCTCCGTGTCCGGCCAGGACACGCCACGTTACAGGGCACGGGCTCTAGGCGGATGACACTGCCTTCCAAGTGTCATTTAGAACAAGTTATTAAGCTTGGAACTAGTCCCAGTCTCAAGTATCACACGAACATTTAGTTGATATTAGTATTTCCCATGTAGAGAAGGGTTGCAAAATGAGATTAAAATCTAAAATTCAATGTCCACAATTTCTTGCAGTATACAAAGCTAATTTCTCTTGAAGATCTTACTGGAATCACGGATTCCTATTGGAAGAAGCTATTATCTATTCTTTTGCTAAGAAAAAATTAAGGCTAAAGTTTAATTAGGTACATAATTTTAATGTCAACATTCAAACATTATCAGGTGGCATTCTAGAAAATCATTCCCACTGAAATACTGGGGGTGAAGGCTGAAAATGAATGAAGAAACAGCCAGAGCAAGGTCTTTGCTTCGGGAAAGCAGCAGGATATTGCCTCCTTCCCACCAACTTCTTTAAAAACTGTAACATCCCAAGCACAGCAAAGAGAAAGCRAAGAAGATATTGAAAAGCCTGGAGAGAAAACACTTGAGAAGCCAAGAAATGATGCATGTCGGCAGCTCTCTTTTTGGCCCTGGCTTGCCAATCCTTCTTGGATAGGGACTTAAAAGAGGGGAATATGGTGGGTTTTTCAGGGAGGGTTTCCCACTAGATAGAGGAAATACCTGCAAACCCTGGCCTGAGCCTTCCTACGGCTTGTGAAGCTTTCCAGCAATAGGTGGACAAAAAAGTCCCAAGCAAAACCACCACCCCGGGCTACGGGCGTTCTCACAAGCTCACACTGCAGCTCAGAGCCCTGCAAAGGACAAGCCCAGCAAACACGAAGCCTACGCAGTTCAGAAGGGGAAGAAAACTGCTGTCAATAAAGCAGGTGCTGGGCTTTGATGGATGGGATTCCTGATCACTTGCCGGCAGGGAAGGTGAGATTCAAAGCCGAACACGGCAGCTTCCAAGCCTTACAAATGGTAACGGGTGGGATTTCCCTGTCCAAATTTCGACAGCTACAGCACAAGCAGCCTACGTGCAATCTAGTCCCCRCAACTCCTCTACAGCTATAATAAATCATGCCCTAGAAACACCTTATTTCTCTTCAACTATAAAACAAAGCCAGGCAGAGAAAGCTAGGGAAACATCTGCACTACAGACATCTAAACACAGCAGGATGAACCTCGTGAAAGGGGTGTCCGTGTGTTCTGGGGGATTCCTTTATTGAATATGGCTGTATCTTTGGCACATGTGCTGTATAATACAACAGCATTTTTCCATATATTGATACAGTTCTTCAAAGAGCAGCAAAAAGTCCCACTACAGACAAGGTCAGATAATGAATACCATGCAATAGCAAAAAATTAAGGAAAAAAGGGCAATCATACCACTCAAGTTTCGACTGTTGATTCTAAAGTTCAGAGGTGCAAAAGGTTTTGAGGACACAATTCTCCCACCTGGAAAAAGAAAAAAAATCACGAAGTCAGTATCTTCTAAAAATGAATGGTTATTGAATATAACTCTATACACAGCCTGAAAGAACAGCCCAAATAACACTATCACTTTTATCCCCTTATGAGGATAAAAAATATATATCACGAAGCTAATTCTGGCAGCCTCTGGGAAAGAGAATATATTAATGCTGCCAGCTAGCCATGAGGCAGCACATCAAGGACCACTTAAAAATGACAGATCTTAAAAACACTCCAGAAAAAGGAGCATATTAATTCTCTGTGGCAATCTACAGAAAATTTAATTAGGAACACCGCTATCTCATTTCCAGTTAGGGTCTTTTATAGACAAGCCCCCAAAGTCCTTTTATTTCAGAAAAAAAAAAGGATGTTAATCTCCATTTTACAGCTATTTATGGTCATTTAATCAAAGGCACAGAGCCTGAGCAAATTATGAAGCAGAACTGTGGCGAGAACTCAGGTGTCTCCATTTTATAAAGAGCTCTTGAACTCGCCACATCTTTCCACTTCCCTCAAGTCGCTACAAAAGAAAAACCAAAAAGATCAACCAKGAAAGCCAGAGAAGATGCATTAAGTTCTGGGGTCTGCGGTTAAGCAGAAAGAAAGGACAGCCCCGTGAGGATCTCCAGTAACCCGGGGGCCACTGCAGCACTGCACGACTATCCAGGCACCACTATCCATGATGCATCTTCTCGAGGGGCACCCAACACGCTGCCTGCGACAGCGCCCACATCCCAACCCTTAGGAGTTCACACACGACTACAAACAGGGCATTCTGAAACAGGAGAATCCAACAMCCCAAATTCAGCAGTTACAGAAGTTGATGAATTGAGGCATGCCTGCACGTTCAGACAGGAAGCCCTGCAGCTCATAAAGAGCCCTGCAGTTATCCACATCCTCTACTCCTCTCTCCCGGCCACTGCTGTTTGGAGGATCCAAAGATCTCCAGGTAGGAAAGAAGTCGTAGGTCCTCCTAGCCCACAAAGCCCTGCATAGACTAACAGCCAAGCTACTGCAGGCAAGGAGGACCACGAGACCTGGAGTATACTTAAGCCTGGAATTAGGAAGTCCAAGGAGTCACCACTGTGGTGCAGAGACTCACTCAGAAGGAACAGAATGAAATCCCCCTACCTGGCTTGTGAACGGTTATAACTAAGCCATTTACCACCGCGAGCCCCTGCGGCAAGCAGGAGGCCAATGGAAAAGAGTTTTACGTTGGATTCGTTACCTTCCTTCATGTTTGCAAAACGCTCCTTCAGCTGGTGATCCACCTCAGGACCAAAGGCAAAGTTATTCACAAAAATAACACTGCAAGATAATGGTCTAGTTAATAAACAGGGCAGACAAGCAGCGTTTTAGCACACCCGCATACATTACTACCCCTCAAAAAGCCTGCTGCAAGTGTCAGTCACTGGCATCAAACAGAAAAACGCTATTTATCCCTCATTATACAGCTACTTGCAGGCAGCAAACAAGCTTTCCTCTTGCACAGGTTCACACACACTGCGTTATCTTCAGCTGTCACAGACGGTGCCGAAACAGCCGTCATCCTACGGCGACTCCTTTTGTCATCTTGCCGAGTTTTGCCCCATAAACTTGTTAGCTACACTGCAGGTTTCAACACAGAATCAGTGCTCAAAATCCCTCATCCCGACAGCAACACTACCTACCACCAACGTACTTCCAGCAGACGCATGAGAAAATGCTCCAACACCCTGGCAAGCACAGACTTCACCCAAATTATTTCTTCGCATTTGTAAAAAAAACCCCAATGAAACATCAGAGCCTTCTTTTGCAGATGTTGTGCGTGCTCTTCCTTCCGAAGCAGCAGCTCGCAGCCCTCAGCACGCTGTCGCTGCCCTAAGCTCAGCGCCTCACCCCAGCCTACAAGGGAAGAGCTGCATCTCCCAACAAGTGGGGCAGCTGGTTTTGCTCCTTAAAAACATCAGCCACCTCTAAAACAGCCCTGCACAAGGTGGGAGTCGCACAAGCAATTCCACGTTACAGGCTGAAGAAATAAGAGGGTTGTTTTCTAAGAACCAGCAGGTCTGCTCCTGCTTTGGGTGGCTCCCTGTCCTTGGTCCCCGTTTCCTACCAGCCTGAGCCAGGAGTCCTCAACACCTTTGGGAAGCCRTTGGACACCCCGAGAGCCAAAGCTGCACAGGACCTTTCACAAACCAATGGCTGTCCAAGAGGTCTGCTCGCAGCCCCCTTCCAGCGCCTCCACTCACAAAACACGCTCAAAAAAGATAGCGATTCTAAGAGTACGAGCCAAAGCTATTTAAACCCCAGTTGGAAAAATAACTGCACACTGACCAATAAAAAAAGGAGGGGGGGAAAAAATCTTATTCTTGCTAATGTCTTGCTCTTTGAAACTTGGGAAGCCCTGCTTGGCAAGCGAGGCTAGCAGGGGCTCCTTCCCCTGCCTCCCATCACGTGCCAAGAAGGAGGCCTTGCAGAACAGCCAAGTGCATTAGTGTGACTAGAAAGTTCCCAGGAAGGAAGGGAAAAAGGGTCAATGTGCCAGGAATATTCCTTAGTGTTCGATGTGGCCTGGTATTTTGCACCGTGCCGGACCTGCAGGAGCCCCCTGTGCTGCCCGGTCTCCTCCGTCCACGCCGGGCTCTCCCCAGGCCTCCAGCCCCGGGCACGTGGGTTGTCGGGCAAAGCCACCCTGCAGCCTCCTTGAAGGCAGCAGATGCCCAATGGTTGGCACAGTGAAGGGAGCCCAAATGCCCAGCCAGCACTTGGGAACAAACCGCTGCTGCTGTATGAATTGCTGGAGCAGAGCGCGAGACGRCAGCGAGCAGGGCACCGTGCAAAACCAGCAGCTCCCAGCGCTTCCCTCCGCAGCAACACGCGCTCAATCGACAACAGAAAAAGCAAAATTTCTTTCAAAGGGATCAAAGCAGCAGAGGAGTGGGCGCCTGGCAAGCGCCAAAGCTGGGCCATGCTTTGGTCACCCGTGGGGCTGGCCACGCGGTCCCCAGCCCCACAGCAGCCGTTCAAGCGAGGCGAGCGACCCGCGAGCTCCCCRACACCGGACACTTCATAAAATATAGGAGAAGAGTTTCATTCTTTGACTTCATTCCCTTTTTACTACTGTCAAAAGGGGCTCCAATCCTCCACACACGTTTTCACAGATACAAGAATCCAAAAACAGTAAGTTTAAGGAAATTCCCCCATTTGAAGCGCCCCCCCCCTTTTTTTTTTAATGGAAAGTGAGCCTGGCTCTACATAACTAGCATTCTGCCAAATCACTGGCACTAATTATAAGGATATCCTGAACGGGTCATTTCTCTATAACCTGTTACACCCTTCCATGTAGCATTAAGGAACATGCACTTAATTCTGTTCTGGGCAGTCAGAAAACTGGATCTACAGAAGCCAGTATGCRAGTTGGCAGATAAGTTTTTGGCTATTTGCTATGGAAATTCTATAGAGAAAGCTGGCCACCCTCCCAATTTCCAGTATACACCCTCCAAAACGCTCCGTTCACAACGCGGCGTTCAGCTGCTGGACTGTACCTTGTGTTTGCAATTCTCTCTCTCCATTCTTCTGAGAGGAAATCACCTCTTTCCAGCTGAAAAAAACAACAAAAGAGAAAGCAAAAACCACACATGAGAGTTAACCTTGTTCCTTTCTGCTGCCATCTCTCCTTGCTCGGAGAAGGCCAAACACGTTTATTAACTCAGTGATATTAGTGGTGCAACCGAGGCTTTAGGAAATACCCAGAAGACAAACCAGCCCCAGGTTTTTGGTCTTGGGAGCCCCCCCTCTCTGCTCTCACCCCTCAGCTCTTCTGCTATCATGGGAGAAAAGGTTAAGGGTCTTGAAGGGTGTAACTGGCACCTTACAAATGCTCTACTCACTGTAGAGCTACAGGAATAAAGCAGAAAGCTCCCTGTGCTGCAGAGTCCCCATGGCCGACACTCAACAGCCTCCTCAAGCGCCCGTGAGAAACACTATCCCGTCTCCTCGCGAGGAGGAATCGACGCAGAGAGATTCTGTGCAGGGTGGGGAGCGCCCACGGCCTGCCCAGGCTGTCTGGAGGGACTCCAGAGAGGGACATCTCTCAAACCTAGCTGCAGGACTAAGGAGGAGCACCCCCCAGCTCCAACACAGCCAGCGCTCCAGGGGACAAACCTCACCAGGAAAAGGCACGGAGATAACCACACGGCCCACTGTGGCTGCAGAAAACTATTTTTTCCCCCCTCTGGAAGCAAGAGAGCCATTCCTAGATGAGCTGCTGCTGCCCACAGAGTGCAGGAGCTCTCTGACGGTGCCCAGCAATGCGCCCCTGCCCCGGGCTGCCTTCCCCAGGCTGCGCCCGGGTCGCGCGAGGACGCGCGGCAGCCACCRATGCTCCCAACCAGTGTCCCCAGCCCCCCCACGCTCTCCCTCTCCGAGAAACCTAATCTCCTTAGTGAATAATGAATGGAAGGGACCATCTGTAACGCAGATATTCTCATGTGATTAGACAATGCAGGAGCCACGCTCTATCTAAAGGGATAATTAGCTCCCCTGCAATTGGCTTCAAAGAGCCGCCAGCCTGCCCGCTTTCGAAAATCAGAGGCGGAAAAAGCAGGTTTTTCTTGGGAGTTTTTCGGCGGGATAAACCTGCCCACCGGACACTGCACAGAGGGGTCGGATGGTGCCCGATTCCCGGGGGAGAGGGGAGGCCGTGGGCTCCTCGGTGGCTCCCTCCAGCCCGCGCGGAGCTGGGCTCACTCCCACATCCCGCAGCCTCCGTGCGGCTCTCGGCTCGCCAAAAATAAAAAGGCAAAGAAAAAAAAAAAAAAAAGAAAAGGAAAAAAGAAAAAACCCAGCTAATTCTGCCTGGAAAAGTACACATGGTTATTTTTAGGTTCCTGTTCTTTTCAAAAATAACCAGCGGCACAGCTCCAAGCCTCCAGACCATGGCATCATTTCAAAGCCACAGGGGACGTTTGGGAGGGCTTTTCAAATACCAAAACATCAAGTTTCCCGCTGAAATCGGGCATTYAAAAATAGCTGGGACAGCGGGGCAGCTTGCGCGCGCCCGGTTAGGCGACGGGCGCTCCKAAGTGCAGCCCCCACACCCCAGCTCGGCAGCTGGCGGCAGCAGGAAAAGCCCCCGCGCCTCCTGCACAATCTGCTGCTCTCATTACTGCTGTTGAGAAGAGTTTGCTACTAAAGCAGCACCCCAAACCCAGYCGGGGAGAGGCAGGTGAGCGAATGGGCACCCAGCACCCCTCTAATCCACGGGGCTCCCCTTGAAGAGGCAGCGCGTGGATCCACAGGAGGGGTTTGCACTCAGGAGCCAGGAAAACCCATCTGTGCCTTGACTGCAATGCTGCTCTAATCTGGTGACCGCGCATGGGCACAAATCCCCCAAGAGAAACTAAACACCCCAGCCCAACCAGCTTGAAAAGCTCCAGTTTCCCCAGACAACAGGTCTCTTGAAAAGACTGACATGCYGCTTAATCCTGCAAATTTTCCAGCACTGGGGGAGAAGCAGCCAGAACAAGAGCGGACTGAAATGAAGTGAGATGGGTTTGAGGTGCAGCAGTCTAGCCCYGAAAGCTGAAGCAGATACTGCCCATGAAAACCCCCTGAAGGAGCGACATACTCCTTTCCAAACCAGAGCGAGGAACATGAGTGCTCTGGAAGGAGAGGCCAGGGAAGCAGAGGAGCATCTGACGCTGAAGGAGGTTGAGAAATGCCAAGCCTCAAACTCCAACAACGTTTGCAGAGCCCATAAGCACCTTCAGTGGTTCCCTTGCTAAAATAACAAGGTTTAAGATGTCCAGCAGAACAGACAGAAATGACAGAAATCAAAAACCCATTTGTCTTGGGGCTGCGGAATTGAGCTTGCGAGGCACCCGGAGCCCAAAGCGCTGCCTGGGTTCRGCAGGTGGGATCGGAGGCTCTTCCTGCCAAGCTCCTGCCAAGCTTCCCTCCTCCAACATTTTCTTCTTCTCCAAACATTTATTTTGCATATGGCTGTCGAAAACGCTAGAGTGGAATTAGGGAGTTCAGCTCTGTTGATCACAGCCTATTTCAATCTGTGCTTACTCCGTCCGTCTCCAACATTTGGCATTTGGGGACCTCATTAAACATTTTGCAGAGACAAAAAATTGGTCTCCATTTTTTGGTGCGGGCTTTTAATCCTGCACCTTCCAACRAGTCCCGGCTGTGTTAGGACATGAGCTTGTCACTATTTTTAGGTAACACTCGTCTAAGGAGCTGTCTAAGGAGCGATTAAAAAAAAAAACAGCAGCATTATCACTTGGCAACAGAAAGCAAYGCAAGCCTTGTTTGGTAAAGCAATAAAGACAAAAGAGAAACCAACCTTGTGCATTTCCACATTAGAGACCAAACTCTATCTTTCAGCCTCACTGTGACAAAGCGAGAGGAAACCAATTTTCAGTTGAGTCAGAAAGTGCTGCCGGGGCTCAACACACAGCCCCCAAAGAGCAAACCCGGCACTTGAGGGGAGAAAACTGCACGAAGCCCTTCTCACCGGACAGAGCCCTAAACGCCAAAGAACCCCGGAAAAACAAGTTGTGTTTCACTACAGCACCAGACTCCGTCGCGTGGAATGCACAATATGGAAATGTTTGCTGCCTAAGGCAATCAATATGCTTTCAATATTTGCATCCAAGTTCCTCTCCTATTCTTTAAATGACGCAGCTCATAAGCAGAGCATCTTCAGCAAGGCCTCCTTTCATGTAATGCCAGCTGGGTGACACAATGGAAACTTGCCATATGGCAGCTGCAGGAGGAGCGAGGCGCGCAGAGCGCTGCRGCCGCGGGCAGCCTGCGAGCAGCCCTGCTCCCAGGGAGCAGCAAACACCTCGCGGGGGCTCTGCAGGAAGGGCAGAGCTGTCCCAACGGGACCTCCTAGTCCCAGGGTGACGGACGTCCCGCGATGACTCCTGCTCCAGTTCCACCCTGCGACACTTTCACAATCCCCTTTCCATCCCAAACTATCCCAATCCTTTCCAACGGAACCGTTCACCATCGTTTCCAAGACCACAGACCCATTCCTTCCCTCCGACTGAAATCCATCCCTGTACAAGCCCTGGAGTYCCACCTTGCAATGCTTGTAGTCAAGCCAGAACTTCAACCCCACGTTCCCCAAAGCGGCATCCCCACCACACCTTGCAGTGCCCATCCCAAACTATCCCACCTTGCCCTGCCCGCAGAACCAGAGCTCCAGCTTTGGGGCTGCTGGCAGAAGGGCCTGCTTTTTGGGTTCAGAAACCCCACAAAAAGATYTGCCTCAGGAAGAGAAGACATATGACAACCCCATTTCACAAATGACAATGTTTTAGRAGAGTAAGACCCTCCAGAAATTTCTGAACATAGTCCCCACAACACATTATTAAGTGTCAAGTGAGATGAAGAGAGCTCCCTTGGGAGGATGTCTTAGAGAACACCGTCCCTGGGATGAAAAGCCAAGCAGCAGATGACTCCTGCTGCTGCTTGGCAGGGCAAGGGCCAAAGAGGACTTGGCAAATTCTGCGCATCAGGATGAGCACAAAGGTTTTCAGCTGAATTTCACTCACTGTGTATTCTGCATGTTTTTTCCCATACCATTTCATCCACTTTCTGAACTCTCTGTCCATCGTCTAGAAGAGGAAAGAMAAACAAAATCCCCTGTTAGGCCATCCCGTTTTATAAGTTACACTGCAACGGAAAGAGATGCAACAGGGCTCATTGATCCACAAGGCATTTTTGTCTGTCCATTCAATGGCCTCTACTGGGGTTTCTTTTTGCAAAGAAAAACCATTTCTTTGCCTGGGCCAATTTAAATGGGCATCTTCTTTCCTGCCCTTTTCAGCAAAGCTGCATATGACAGAGAGGTGACCTCAGTGGCCTCGGCACTGAGAGGGGCACAGCCTGAGGGAGCTGCCACGTTGTGCTCCGCACAGCGGGCCCCGTCTGCCAGGGAAAGGGGGACGTGGGGGCACCCGGTACCCACTGCCAAACGCGGCAGAAAGGAGCCAGAGCCCCGGGCACCGAGAGGCTGCAGCGCCTTGCAAAGGGCCCCYGTGTCTGCAAAACATTGGCCCTCTCCACCTGAACTGCGACTGCAGAGTGGAGGGGAAGCTGCACATTATGCTGCATTTGAGAAACAAATTCCCGGGCCCTTCCGAGAGGGAAAAAATCCCCCTGGGATTGTAAGATTTGACCCCACAAATGAAGGAGCTAMATTTGGAGGTAATAGGGAAGGGCTATAACAGATAGACACATGGCAGGACCTCTGGTTTCCCCTCCAATCCACAGATCCAGACCTCCCTGGCAGGTCTGTGAAACGGTTTGTGTGGACAAATGTGGTTTAAAAGTCTTCAAGTTTCAAAAGTCRCCCAGAGTTTAATGGGCTAATTCTCACAGAGCTTCACGAGCTTCATATTCAGTGTAAGCTTTCATTTTGAATATTTTTCAAAGCTTTTAAAAAATTCACTCTGATTCTCAACTTCTAGCTGAAGCTTTTCAAGGCCCATCTGCATGACCTATCACAGCAGCCAGAGTTATTCAGTATTCAATTAGTAGGTAAATAACTGCATTTTTTACTGCCTCAGTTCTCATTTTCACTGAAGCCTCGTGTTTATACAGAGGGATATGACAGGATGTTAACGAAAGCAACTTTTTATCTTTCTTTCTTGAGCATTGATCGTTAAGCTCACTATGAAACAAAACAGGACTTCAGGCCTTGCAACGCAGTCACTAGAACAACCGTGACGCCTGTGCAAAGGACTGAAGAGAACATTCCAGCGGGAAGTTTCCACTGGCTCACAGCAGAGGAAGAAAAGGGGCATTTTAGGTCCTTGTCTGATCCTCTTTACCACTGTGTTTACACATTTGTGTCCATACAACCAAAAAGGAAGTTCAGGGGCTTTTTTCTCCTGCTTTACAACCTGTAATTTTCTAGCCTGCCCAGAGCCAGCTTATTTCAGTGATACGGAGGGCAAGCTGCTGTTGAGCGCCCAGAGGAAACCTCTTGCCTAACTTCTACTATTTGCCTGTGGCTCGTTATTTGCAGTCCAGGTTTTCCTCGGAGCTGATTATTTAGGTTTCCCCAATGGCACAGAATTAGCACAAGTATGTGTGCATATATATGCTTGTGTATATATGGCATGTATTTTTACACAACTTTGTGTATATTTATATAAATACGTATTTTTGCCTACAGATCGTGTGTATGTCTAAAAATCTCTCTCTAAACCGYGTATGCAGAGAGATATATAAGGAAATCGCGCTCACGTCTGCCGCGGACGCAGCCCCGGCACTCACCTCAGCGTACTTGGCTGGGATGTCAGCTTTCTCCACGCCGTAGTGATGTTTGCAGTTGGTGGCCGCGGCCACCTGGAGCACCACCTGGCCCACACCTGCAGGGAGGCAGCACAGGTTGAGGGTTGAGCACCACGGCCGGCGGAGCCGAGCGGAGCGCCCACCAAAACCAGGGCCCTTTTCCCTCGTTATGTGAAATATTGAGCGCGGGCTCTTCAGCGAAAACACCTTACACCCGCACTACGAAGACAACAGGGCAAATGAATTTCCTTCTTACAGACAAAAGATGGTCTAGTATTACAGTTTTGCATTTCAGGTTTTTGCAGATACAAAGGGCTTTTAACAAAATAGCATAGAGCTAAACATTTACAGCAATGTCATATTGATAAACATCAGCAGCTACTATAATCTAATATGAAGGATTCACTCGAAGATACAGAGAGGCTTCAGGATATCTGGATTTTAAGATTCTTGTACTCTTTTCTTTTTTTTAAATGTATTCCATAAAATTTCCCAATGTTACCTTGCACTTCATTATTTAATTGCAGTGATTGACTCAACACCTAGAGAAACCCCATCCCATCTCCAAGCAACCCCTGTGTGGTCACACAGCTGCACCACTCGACGACACAGACGCCTGTGAGCAACACGTTATTACATATACATTGTGTTATTTAAACATTATTTACATAACCTTGCAACACGACAGGCAGCACCTAGAGCCTGCGACTATCCAAAGCACATTTAAGAACTAGCTTTACATTTTACATTAAAGAATCAAGGCAATAAAGCAAGGGTTCCCAACTCGAAGCAAGGGCAGAGGCGGCGCTACATGGGCCAGGTCTATTGAAAACTGTATGAACTTCCCATCACTCCAAATTCTGTTTGCACCAGGCACAATGAGCAGTAACAAGGTGCAATCCCTGGCCTTCTCTCTCTCTCTCTCTCTCTCTCTCTCTCTCTCTCTCTCTCTCTCTCTTTTATCTCTCTGCATGATGTTAAAAAGGAAAACGATCAGATTTCTGGCGGTACAAACGATGCAGACTTTGCACGTGTTGCAGGACAGGGCTCAAAGAGGCAGCCTCCAATTTCCAGCAGGGCCAGAGCCTGGAGCCCAGCTGCTCCAGTGCCTCTTGTTTAGGAGCAGCAATAAGGACCGACAGACAAAAGGGAAGCTCAAGAAGCTGCACGGACTCAAATCGTGGGGATCCTGCCCAAGCCATGAATTCAGTCTTCCCTTGTTTTTAAGCCTTGCAAGAACTTGACTGTATTGGCGTGTGCTTGCCTCAATGCCTCCATATAATCCCCTTGCAATCAGCGCATTAATCTGGACATCGACGTGGAAGTAACAAGCAGAGCCACAACGTTCTGCTGGGCTCAGCCCTGCTGTCTGCCTGTAATCCCTGGAAAGACACTCATACACACCCTGCACTATCACAGCATTCTCATACTGCAGTCAACGCCACCCGGGACAAGCTGCAAACATTTACTCTATCAGAACAAGGTCAACAACTGGGAGTAAACTACTTTTTTTTTCCCCCCCCCCTCCTGTATGTTCTGCTTTAAATTATTTCGGGGCTCCAAACATTAAAGACTTCTGAATTTAAACCATTCCTTTCAACTGCAACCAAAGCTCTATAAATTTTTATCTTGTTGGTCAATAGCCAGGCACTTAAGTGAGGATAAGGGTAGCAATAAATACCTTATTTTGTTTCTGGTGGTACAGGGAACAAGGAAACCTAACTTTTCAGCTTGATCACACACTTCACCTTGTTACATAAACAGCAGCACTACAGATTTCAGATACAATCTTCTTTGACCTTCCTGCACAAACAATTGCAAGTACCTGATAATTTTTTTAATCCTTACAGATGGAAAACAGCTCATCAGATCTGACGCTTTTTTAAGTGTCGCATTTGTACGTAAGTCACTGAAACAGTTAATTTAAGAACCAAGTTCCATTGAGAGAAGAGGGAAATTTTCTGAAGACCCCTGACTTGGGATATATTAAGCATGAAAAAAGCACCAATGTAGCRGAGAGTATATTCAGTTGCTCAGTGTATTTTAAAATATTTCCCCCAAAGCTCTCTATCTTACCAGCCACAAAACCAAAACACACCTCATCTAAAAGCCATCCAGTAAAAGGGGAAATTCTTTTTATTTTCTTGCCCTGAAGTGAATCTTAGCAACAAAAACATCATCATCACCTTCTTACTCAGTGTGTCTGTTCCACATGTGTTTGAGTCATAGCTGGTTTCAGCTACAAACACTTCCTTGCTTGCACTGTGAGGGGAGGCGGTGACACACTTGTGGGTCACTGAGCTGTCAAAGCTGCCTAGAAAGGCTTTTCTGACCCACTGAAGAGCATGTCAGAGCCTCAGTAGCTGCTTGATGTGCAGATAACAGGCCAAGCCTGTCACGCTGGCRCAGAAAGGGCCAGGAAATCACAGTTTCATTCATGAAGGGTCTAAATTCAATCAAGAGAAAATGTCTGAATCCTTGAAAATGGAAGGCACTGTTGTTATCTTTCGGGCAGCCTTTTCAATACTCTTCTKTTCCTGTATCTACCAATAACAACGGAATCCAAAAGCTTTTGAAAAAGACTGATTTTGTAGTATGGATTTATTTCTTTTCTAGTCCATCTCACTAACAACACAGCAAAGACTATTTGTTTGGTCTACTTAGTATTATCATAAAAATCAAGAGCATCGTTGAGGGATGAATTAGAAAAGGAACTTCTTCTGCAGTGTAATCTGCAGTCTTGGTTTACTACTTTGGGGATTTTTTTTTTGAATGAAAGGAAAAAGCAGTGAGAAAAAGAAATAAATGAGAAGATCCTTCAAGATTTGCCACTTACCACTGCCCAAGTCGACGAACAAATCATCCTCTGTCATTTTAATTTCATCTATCATTTGGGCCACTAGGTCAAAGGACGTTTCTCCATAAACCTCCGGGGAAAAGGGCTCGTAGTTGTTGAGTTTCTCTGGATCAGTCACCGAGTGGTTGTAGACCTGCTGCAGGATGTGACGGAGGAGCCCGTTGGAGGGACGTGTGTTGAGTTTCATAGGCTGCGTGGTCCCCTTCCACTAAACGAGAGCAGGAGGAGAAYGTCAACACACATGCAGGCTCTAACAGGAGCAAAAAGATGCTGAGGACACGGGGTGACAGGGAGTGCTCTCCCTGACAAGGTCAACAGGGTGACAAGGGGAAATTAGAGATGTAGMAAGTCACTGGCAAGGTAAGCTAGGAACTACATCTCCAGATGTKGTACATCTCAGAGTAGATGACAAGTGAGGTTATTTGCTTTTTCAATTACTGATCATCACCAAGCTGTTCCTAACTGGACGTCAATATTTAGACTGTTTTATTTATTTCATTAATTGGGAGAGCACGTGCGGCAGGAAATAGTTGAAAATCAAACCTCTGCTCTTTAAGAAAAGCACCTTCTCCTAAATATAAATGCTGCTAGCTTTAAAAAATGYTTGGTTTTGCTTTGGATCAAATTTATTTTATCCTTTATCCTAATCTTCCTGGGAGAGACAACTCCAGGATGCTTCCCAAGCCTTCCCCTGCTTAAGATCCAAGTCCAGTTTCCACAGCCGGCCCACGCGCAAACATTTCAGACAGTGGTCACAAATGCCAGAAGGCTTCGAATTTTTCCCTGTTGATAAAGACAAGGATGAAGTCTGCCAAAAACCCGAGYTTTATGGAGTTGTAGGCCCCACCGTGAAGCAAAATCTGGTGAAAACGCTAAGTCTCTTGGCCATAACATTGCCTATTTCTAATATTAGAGAGAAGAACATCTACCTATGCTTGGAAAATTAAGTAGAATAATAAAATTAATCCATTGCTCCTGTTTTATTTCTTCCAATTCAATCTTACACTGGGGTAAGAAAAATAAAACCACTGTCTTGTTAAAATGGCCTGAAGAGACATTTCACTCCAGTTGCACAGAGTGACCCCTAGAACAGAGCTCAACTGAAGGGAAAGGAAATGCTTAAGCCACGGATCACTGCCACAAGACACAGGAGGGTCCAGATGGATTATTTAAGCAGTCCATAAGCCAGAGATTTCCACGGGCTAAAGACAAGCTGTGTTATCAATCCTTGTGGAACATCTACGCGCTGAGGGCAGGGGAACCTTTTGTGCAAAGGCAGCCCTGCAGTTTCAAACCATCCAAACAAGGATGCCCTGCAAATCTAGTTTTCTTTCTCAATAAGAAACGGAATCCCCAAAGGAAAAGGGAAAAAATATCCCTGATCCCAGATGCTACCAAAAAGATAAGGCCCAATGTAAGGTTTATTAGCTTGCAGAAAAAAATGGAATCATAGAGGTACTGGCGGTGAAGCTGCGCTACCACGYGCGGTTCAGGGCCGGGAAAAATCATCTCTGTCTCAGGTATTTTTGGCAATATGGGCTGGATAAACACTAGGCACAACACGGGTAAATACCTACCAACTGATGAATGCTGTCAATGGCTCGGTTGTATTTGTCACAAAGCCTCTGCATGCTCTCAAAGCTACAAAGGGAGGAAAAATGCAGTGTCAGTCAAGAAGAGGGCACTTGAAGAGGCCGCTGAGATTGAAAGGTAAAAGTTCTTTATTATTAAATCATAAATACTGTAAGGAGGCATCTTTTCTGCAACCTATATTATTGCATTTAGTTTTAGATCATTGTATAGTTTCCTTAAAAAAGGCTCAGTAGATCAGCGAGAACCTGACAAATGAGCACTACATTCCATAAGATAACATATTCATGCAGTAGAAGGAAGAAAGTAGCATTTCACACTAACTTGGAACTGAACTTTAGGTTTCTTTAAAGGACTGAACTTAAGATAAATTTGGATTTTGAGGACGTTTCATGTTCTTCTGGTGCATTATCTCCTTTCCAGATCCTCAGATGCAGAGGAATTTAATAGAGGTAGATGGTCCCAGCACATAACCTATAAAATACAACCCAACAGAGAATCACAGCGATTGCCTCGAGGGCTGCTTGGGTTTACAGTCTGTTGGGTCAGTCACATAGTGAGAGAAGCTGAGGGGATGTAAAAACTCTTCAACTCAGGCTGGGGAGGACGAGATCTTGCAAGAACATCAGACACCATCAGCAGCAAAAGCACCGAGGTAAGGAGTTAGACAGGCAAGGTAATGACATTGCGGCCGTCCCCAAACAAGGGACAGGGAGGAGACGGAGGCCAGGGGAAGGCAGCAGCGCTTCAGTTGCTTGTGAACCCCACACTGCCCTGACACCGGACAGGGCTCCTTTGCCTAAGAGCTTTGCTGCCCCTTTTCAAGCCTTCGGCGCTAAGGACAGTGGCCAATGATGTGTTAGAAACGGGTGCAGTTTCACCTGTAAACCCTGCTGTGAAAGTTAGTCCTGCTGCAGACGTGAACACTTTGGGTCTTGCCCACACCAGCAGTGTTGTAGATCAGGTTGTTGTAAATCACAGCTCGAGACTCATCTCTTTTGCCAGGCTCTGTACAGCCAAGTCCATCCTCAGACCATSCAACTTCTCCATATCACAGGGGCAGAACCTGCCTCTCGCAGCCTCCAGGTGGATGCCACATCCTATACGTTCATCTTTAGCTATTAGACATTCACATGCAGCCAAAGGCATCGTAAACCTACTTCTAGCGGCCCAGAGAGGCGTAAACACCTTTTAATTGATCCCCCAAAGAGCAGCTCCCTTGCAGCGAGCTCTCATCGGAGGAGCCGCAGGGCGAGGAGGACATGGTGCCGACAGGCRGCTCCGGCACCACGTTCTCCAAACGGGAATTTGGAGCTACTACAAAAGTAGAAGCCTCAGTGCCATTCAGATTCCAACTCTGGACACAGTCCAAGAGCACAGATACCAATCATTGTTTTGGAGTGAGTAATTCCAACGTGCAGAGCTCAACTCTCTGCCGTGCGGAGTTTCCAATTATGTCCTTAATCTGACAGCCTTTGCCAATATTTCTATTACACATTCCCTACCAAAATAACTTTGCAGGATCTGGAGCCAGTTCTAAAAGAAAAACTCCAGTTTATAGCGACTGARAATAACCAGTTACAATCCAATTCATTACACAGTATTCTGGTCTGCCCTTCCGTCAGAGAAAGGAAAAAATAAAAAACCTCTCACCTTTTTGTATCATAGTCAATTAAAACATAGTTTTCCATAGCAAGCTTGAGATCTGGGATTTCTTCACAGACCCACCTGAAAGGAGAGAAGAAACAGCATAAAAACCTCTTCTCTGATGTGGTCTYTTAAGGCAGCCTGTCTCAGCCCTCCAGGGCCATTGCTATACAGAGACAAAACACGGCAGCAGACAGGACAGCTCCCCGTGACGCTGGCAGTAAGGCAGGAATCACAAAATCGCTGGAAATCGCTGGAAAGCCGCACCAGGTCGCACGGCTTTCTGTTAACAAGCAGCAAGATGCCCACAGACCCTGGTACAGAGTGGGGCAGAACTCCTGAAACGGTACAGCTTCAAAAGGAAGAGGCAAAAACACTCAAAGCACCAAAAAATACCCAGTGTGATACAAACCTAGCAAAAAAAACTAACACAGAGTGCAACATTTTGACAATTTTTTWAACAAAACTCTAATGATTAAAGATATAAGCAAGAGAAAAAAAAACACAGAACTTTTAAATCTAAGACTGCCTCTCTTCTCATATCTGCCATTTCCCTAAAACTGGCACTACTTCAATCTCCGCAGCTCTTTTAAACCGGGGAAGCAGGAGGCAGCAGCTCTTCCCCACACGCTTGAAGAGTGGCCTATTTCTGCTTACCCCAAAAGCACTCGCTTTTGGGAAAGCACTAGCACAGAGGACTCTGGTTTCAGCACTGCGCTTAAGTCTCCTCATAGAGGGTCTTTTCAGAAAAATGACCGTGACGGGCGATACCCCGAGCACCAAGGCACAGAACATTATCGAGACAAAGATGATGAAGGGGCTGCAGCATCCTCCTCATGAGGAAAGACTGAGCGAGCGGGGTCTGTTCAGCCTGGAGAAGAGAGGGTTGAGAGGGGACCTGACCAAAATGTTTAAGGACATGAATGGGGAATGTAGGGAGGAGGGGGCCAAGCTCTTCTCAGTGGCGGCCAGTGACAGGACAAGGGGAAATGGGTGTAAGTTGGAACTCAGGCAGYTCCATCTCCACGTGAGGAAGAACTTCTTTACTGGGAGGGTGCCTGAGCCCTGGCACAGGCTGCCCAGGGAGGCTGGGGAGGCTCCTTCTCTGGAGGTCTTCCAAACCCACCTGGATGCCGCCCTGTGCTCCRTGCTCTGGGTGTCCCTGCTGGAGCAGCAGTTGGACTAGATGTTCCCCAGCGTCTCTTCCAACCTCAGCCACTCCAATTCTGTGAAAATGAGCCYGAGCAAAGGGGCAGCAGCAGCACCAGCGCCTCTCACGCCAAGGGTTCGTAGTCAGAGAAGACGACTGCTTTAAGTGACAAGTCTCAGCTGCAGCCCCTGGCATTACACGTTCTCTCCAGCCAACAGGAGAAACCTGTCTGTTTTGCAGACCGTGGCCAAATACCACGATTTCATGCATGTAAGTGATACCATCGGCTCTAATGACCAAGCMGGCCCGTGGCTGCGGGCAGCAAGGCAGCCTCAGCAGGGTTTCCCAGGCTGGCCACCGCCGGTCGCACCCCAGCCCAGGGCAGACGCTGCCCACGTTCCCTCTGGGCAAATTACAGACTTGTAGTGCAATGACATCAATTCAGCTTCGAAAATTCACTTTACAGCTGCTAAGTTATGATTTCTCCKTTACATTTACGTCCTCCTTTGGACTATGGCTCAAGACACCCATTTACTGAGTTAAAGTGACACATGGGAAATTTTGGGCATGTCTGCACGGAACACTTACCGAATTGTCTCAATAATTTCGTGAGCAGCATCATGGTGTTTGTCCTGAAATTAAAGAAAACAGATGTTTCAGAGCGACAGCTGAACAATACCATSCCCATCACCTACAGACTACAGGAAGGACAACCAAGTACACAGGGAACAAGCAGGAGGGGAAGGAGCCTGGAATGCCYCCAGGCCATGGAGCCACTCCGGCCGGTCACGGAGGGACTGTGGGGTTTTTAAGTTCATGGGGACTAGCACAATGATGCCAGGAGATGCCAGTATAAAGAAACCCGATRGTTTCTACCTGAAAATGCAGAGCTTTTCATCAATTAAAACAAAAAAAACCACACACACCCACACTCAAATACACCTCAAAGCCATGCACTGTACATATATGCTAGGTGTGGCCCAGCGGTTTCTTGACATGAATTTGGAGAGCTGTGAGGAAGAACAGAAGCAGAGCGAGTTTCAGAAGTTGGGACAAACAGGCTCCAATCAATACAGCCACTGTAGGTTTCATAAATATACATAAATCTATTTTAGGAATGTTAGGGGCATTCCTATACATATTCCTGTGTCCATATTGTTAGGTCTTAGTTACCAGAGATCACCTGCATAGCATTTAGATGATATTTAGATATTTGTTTCTTAAAAGAGGTTCRGCTCCGATATCTAAGATCCCTCCAGAGCTGGGAGGTAAATGTCATCTCTGGCACATGCAAAGAATTTTCCTTTCTTTTTCCTGCTGCAGTAATGTAACTTCTACAGCATTACCTGTGGGAGATTCTCCAGCAAAGGGTAGGGATGGGCAGCAAGAAGCAAAGGGCTGGTAGCAAAGAAGGGAAAGGAAAGGAAGAGCAGCTCTCATGGGCAGACGCAGAAGTGGCTGGGGTTTATTCCAATTTCTGCAAATTCCTGAAGATCTTGCTAGAAATTAAACATAAGGGTTTTCCTGACAGTGTCACAGTTTTCAAGTCTGCAGGAGGAGGCAGATTTTGCCCTTGTGTGGCGGCTCCATCTACTCCAGGTCATGAGAAGAAGTTCTCATGTCAAGGAAGAAGCTGCCCACAACGTAACAGGCCTCTGGGGCCCGCTGGAAAACAGAACGACTTGAATGAGTGGGAGGGAAGCAGGGACAAGTGTCTCTTGGTCCGTCGCAGTGAGTGTACAAAGTCGCCCTTCCTGTGCTACTAGGAGAAGCTTTTAAGTTTATATTGCAGCTGGAATGCTTTGGTCTTCTTCCACATCATCCAAAAGGAGAAGACGCCAAAAGAAGGAGYGAGGACATTGTGCTTTAAGACAGAGCAGTCAGAGTGTCACCTCGGGGGTGGTTCATAAGGAAACTCAGCGCTACAGGAGCGCCTGGGGACAAAGCGCCACCCGAAACAACCGCGGGGTTTTGCTGGCTCTGCCCCCGGCACCGCAGCCTCAGACGGGCACCCAGTAGCACCAGCAAACGGACCAGGCCACAAAGGGAAGGTCTTGGCCTAAAACACAGGCAAGCAGCTGAACTAAAATCTGCACYTACCTCAGGACACACACATATAGAAAACACCCACACATCGTATGTATTTGTAGGAGCAGGCCTTTGATTTCTCATCTGCAAGGTATTAGAAAACACACGCACAGAACTCGGCTCGTCCATAAAGGGTCCCTTTAAGTTCTCACCTTTCACTCCATGCACACTTATCACAACATAATCCCTCCGGCTGATCTGGCTATTCCTGTAAACTGTGTTCCTGCATACCAAGAATACGTTTTTATCAACCAAAGCACGTTATACTGCAAAAGGGCATTGGTGTTTATGTTGGCATAAGCTTTTTCTCTGAAAAGCTCACATTCTTCCCTGACTTTTTGCACAATTTCAGTGCAAAAGAGCATGCGTTWAAGAAACCCTGCCCTAAAGTCTTCATGAAAACGCCCTGTAAATGTTCAGTTGCTTATTCAACAGATTCCTTCATCTGGAAATATATATATATAYACACACACACACACGCATGCCTACCTCTACAGATCTTCCAATTTAAACAACTGGTTTTACTACTGTAACCTCGTGCCTCATGCAAAGAGAGCAGCCCGAAGAGGCTTTCAGAGTTTATTCTGCGTCATTATCTGGATCAACAACATTAAAAAAAGCTCCCCATTTATCTCGATAAAACTTTAAAACTTCTCATGTTGAGAGATTTACCTATTTAACTCTACTCTTTTTGTACTCGGCGTAGACCAGCTTCAAGATCTCAAGCTACTCTTCCAAAAAGAAGTTGGAGGAGATCTCCCAACACTTCTCCACAGGGAACATGGCGCAGAAATGGGGGAGAATCCAGATGAAGATACAGATCACTTCCCATTTTCTAGCCATCCCTTTTATTCCTTTGCAGCATKACAACCGTGGGAGTCAGTAGGAGCAGGCAGGCAGCAGCACCGGTCAGCGCCGCGGTGCTGGTGCAATCCCTGGCGGCACCRATGGAGATTCCCGAGCAAGTGGGATAGAAACCTCGGCACAAGCGGGGTGGGCTCGGGCACACGCTCTGCTTGGGGCCAGAGCCGCTGGCCCTGCAGCCGCCGAGCGTGGGGAGCGGAGCGGTCTGGGGGGCTCGGCGCACGCGCCGTGCGCTCGGGCAGCCCCAGCTCTGCGGCGCCCGCGCAAAGCCGCCCGCTGCCCGCACGGCCAAGGGGCCTTAGGCTGCCCGCGTTGAGACACTGCCCGCGTTGAGACGCGGCCCGCGGGGCCTTCGCGGCTGGCGACCTGCGCCAAGAGCGGGACGGCACCAGCGACGGCGCCGCTTTGCACCGTGCCCGCGTCGCCCGCCCATGAAGAGCCTCTCGCAAGCAGACACAAACCACATTGTGCGGAGGTGCCAGAACCCGGCCGCGCTGCACGCGCTCACGGGATGCTCCACAGGGCTCCACGGGACTCCATCCATCCCGCCTCTGCCTGCCGGCCCCTGCGCGCGGGTCAGGGACCCTCCGCGTGCAGGCCGTCCCGGCCGGGCTCGCGCGCCACTCCGGGACCTCGGAGCCTCCCGCGCCGCGTGCTGGAAGCTGCTGCGCCAAGCAGGAGCCCGGCGCTTTCATGTGGTCTAAGCACTCAGCACTGAAAATAAAAAGTTGCAGCGTGTAATTACTGAGAGCGCCTAAAGCTATTCATAACAAGTTCTTTCTTAAACTTAAACACACGTATTAAAAGCTAGTTATTACAGTCGATTCTCTCCAGCTGAAATCTCTAATAAAAGRTTTCGTATTTTCAACCTAAATGTTCAATCTGAAATTGAAACCGGAGCTCCCAGAGAAGATTCAGTAGCTTTCGCCAAGTTGTTTCATTGGAAAAAATCATGGAAAGAAAGCAGAGGCTTTTGAAAAAGTCACTAATTTCCTTGGAAAACAAGGAAGGAAAGTCACTGCCAGGACTGCCGAGCAGCTTCACACGCCTGATGCTGAAGACTCGACTTCTCCGTCCGTATGTTAGGCCATGGAAATGGCCTTTTTTATATGTTCAGTCTTTCCCTTCATCTCCATCTTCAGTCTTTGCCTTCAACTTCCAGCAAGATCCACCCTTCTTTCACTGAAAGCCAGGGCTTTTTCCTGCTCTCTCAGCCCRGGGAAATGAGGGTGTATAAGTGTTTCTGAAAGCCTCAAGGCAAAGCCAGCGCTGTTGGAACAGGAGGCTGGTTTGCACCGGACAGCTCTGCGAGAAGCCCTGCCCTAAAGGCAAAAGAAAATAGTGTCCACAAATGCTTCCCAACTAGGTATTTTCATGCAGCCATTATTATTTTCTACAATCACATCTTCCTTTTGTTAATGCATGCTAAAAGAGAAACGCTCAACAGTACAACCAGAGCGGAGAGATTCTGAGTAGCAATCCCAGCTATTACTGTAACGCCTACGTAAGAAAATTAATGGGGCCCTGATCACGCTCGACACCATCTAAATTGTTCCGGACACACCTCAGTTGTCTATATACAGCACTTGTCCTACGAAACAGCAGCTTCCTAATAAAAGAAAATAGAAACCACTGCTAAACGAGCAGTAGGCCGGGGCTGCAATATCCAGGCTTCTCAGTCGCTGCAGTGCAGTAGCAAAAATTCCCCGGAAAACAAGAGGAAATGGCAGGTCAGAAAACCTTGCACAGTTAAGAGGAGAGCAACCTTCCAGAATCTCCATTTGGTCTGGAGAAATAGAGATACACGTGCTTTCTGTCAGTAGATGTTGAAACATCTTGCACCAGGCTTTGAGATCCCTCCTCTGAGGGAAAAAAATAGGGGTTTTTTCTTCTTCTTCTTCTTCTTCTTCCTGTGAGCAGAGGGCTGAGCTGCCCCCGCTGGCAGCCTCAATTGAGGAATTCTGAGCTGCAAATGACTCTGATCTTATCTAACTTGCAAAGCTGGAAGAGGTGGGTCTCATTCCCCTCTGGATTTAAACAGGGGTTGCCCAGAGAGGCCYGTCACAAGCAGGGGCTGGAAATCCAAAGGAAATCCAAAGGAGCRGATGTCGCAGCTGGAGACAAGATGGTCAGCGGAGATCAAAAAGACGGAAGAGCAGCTCCCTCCTGCAGAACCCTGAAAGCAGAGTGCGCCGTGGCCTCCCTTAGAGCCGCTTAAGAGCTTTTAAAGAAAAACAAAGCCACGTTTGGGCTGAAATGCAGAAGGATCTAAAGTAACATCCACACGGGCCAGTTACACCAACATCACTTACTGGCTTCAGTCTGCACAGCCAGACCCAGGAAGGAGGAGTTCTATTATGTGAGATGACTTCTAAAATTTAAGAAGTCCAGGCCTGCTCTACCAGAACATGTATGTGAAATAATCACATGAATACAACGGTACTTTATACTGGTATATGCTGCTGTCCTTTCAGGACGTTTTTGCATCGGTTTCAAACCTTCACGTAGCCACAGGCCACGTTAATAGCGAAATAATCTTCCCATGGAGCAGGGAGTGGGRAACGAGGATGAGCAGAGAAGAGCTCAGTCTTCACTGCCATCTCCACTGCCAGAAACGTAAAGCCTTTCTGTAAAGCCAAAGGCAATTAACATCAGTTATTCCTGGTAGGAATGA